AAATCACACTGACAACAGGGTCAATTGTCATTCGCATGCCCACACCTTCAAAGCAAATATATCAATTAAAAATAATAAATCAAAAAGACGTGAGAGCTACAGCTAGCTGCTGGCCCACCATCTATTTTCATTAAGCTACAGGCCACTCCAGGTGTGAGGAGGATCTCAAGATGAATAGAGGTATTCAAATGAATCAAAAAGGATTAGGGTCCCCTGGGATTGCAATCAATGGTAGCAAATCAATAATCAATAGGCCACTCACACCAATATACTAACAGCTGACATCAAGAGCTCACAATTAAAATGAAAAGCAGGCGAGAGGAGTGGTGGAGGACTATGATTTATCTGGAGCTGCCGAATGTCATTTAGAAATAAATAAAGTCTATCGAGAAAACGTGCATGTGCCAGAAGCAGGTGGGACGCAGTTATGCATTTTAACACTGCCTGACAGTGTGAGGTATTACAGAGACGAGTGCAAGCTGGAGTTCACCAATACAAAACACTCTGGTGGAGCTAATCATGCTCATGGATTATCATATAAGCATACTGAGTGGAAAAAATGTAAACAAATATCAAGTTGCTAGCGATAATTAAGATCAACTGATACGGTTTACAAGGAGTGAAACTGAGAAGCTTAATAATATTTAATTGAATTAATTTTTTTTTAATCCTTGTCTTTAAAAAGTGATATCAGAAAAAAAATATATTAATAAATAAATCAGTGAAAAGTTTTGTGTCCATCTAAAAAGCCACCAGCTTTGCATTGACCAACAGCCATGAAGAATTTTTTTTAAATACTGTCGTATTGTAGAGCTTTTCTTATATTTATATTATTATATTATGTTTGTTATTTTTGTCTCTTATTAACTTAGAGAAAGAGAAAAAAAGAAAAGCTGGTGAAGGAATGACGATGACGATAAACATAACTGTAAATGGATAAAACGAGCATGTTGTTTTTAATGGATAAAAACTTCCAACATTGGCAGATTGTTGTAGTATAAGAGCAATATACACACACTGAGGACATGCTGTTAAATGAAAATGATAACGTTGCAGTGGTAACAGTAACTCTATGTTGCACTGGACTACATTACATCATGCACCGTGTCAGTGATTATTTTCCTGTAACATGATCATGATTTATTCTTTACTTATTTACTTATTGACTAATTACAAACTAATACTTTATGCAGTAGCAGCATAGAGAAGATTTGTTCTTATTCCTGTTGAACCATATGAACAAAACCACAAGGAAAATTAGCTTTTTCAATCATTTATTCAATAGAAATATAAATAGATGTGATATTCTTCTGTGGAAAAGGTAAGTACACCCTTGGCCTCAGAAGCTAGTTTTGCCCCCTTTAACAGACATAACTTCTTGAAGGCGTTTTGCATAATTGTCCACCAGGCTTGCTGGAATTTTTGCCCACACTTCCATGCAACATTCTTTCAGTTGCAAGATGTTGAAGGGTTTTTTTTTGTTTGTTTGTTTGTTTTTTTTTGCATGCACTGCCGGTTTCAGATCCCCCCATTCTATTCCATAACCCTTCATTTCTTCATTTTTGATCCATTCCTTGGTGGATTTGATAGTGTGCTTAGGATCATTAACCTGAATAATATCCACTTTCGATTCAGCTTCAGCTTTCGGACAGATGGTCTTACATTATCTTCTAGCACTCTTTGATATGATGCAGAAATCATACTTGAGTCAATGAATATGAGCTGTCCAGTTCCTGAGGCAGAAAAGCAACCCCAAACCATAACATTTCCACCACCATGCTTCACAGTTGGTATGGGTTGCTTCTCCTGAAAAGTTGTCTTTGGTTTGCACCAACCAATATGCTGTTACTGTGTATGAATAACTATCTTTGCTTCGTCTGTCCAGAGCACGTCTTTGTATATAAGGTCACTGGCAAACTGTAGTCTTGCAAAGGCTTTTTCCTGGTACGCCTCCCATGCAGGTCAAATTTGTGCAGTCTCTTTCTGATTGTAGAAAAATGCACTTTGACACCAAAGGTAAGACTTACTAGCAGATCCTGTGATGAAATTTTGGGGTTCTTGGAGACTTCTTTTTGCATCAGATGATCTGCTCTTCGGTTGAATTTGCTTGCACAGCCAGTCCTGGACAAACTGGCATTTATCGCCACCATTTGTAGATGATTTTCCTTACAGAGGAATTTGGAGATCTTTTTAAATCCCTCGCCAGACTCATAAGCATCTACAACCTGAGGTGCGTGGTGCCATCATCTTGGCATGATGACATCACACACCTCAATAGCAAAGGGAACACCAAACACTAGATATGAGAGGGGAATGAATAAGACAGGTTCCACCTGCACTCCCTAAGCAGGTTCTAATCACTGGCACCTAAATTTGTACACCTGATTCTAATTTTATGGATTTGAATGTGTGATAAATGTAAGGGTGTACTTACTTTTTCTGTGTGACTGATGAGGGTGTTTTTTTTGTTAATTGACATTATGACACATTTATGTGTCATTTGACAGAGTGTATCAACTTCATATAATAGGCACTGTTTCAAAAAGGATAAAATGTTTGCTTGTCCAAAGATAATAATAATAATAATAATAATAATAATAATAATAATTTTTAAAAAGCCAACAATGTTTTCACGTAACTGTAGATAGTACGCATTAGCTGCCTGAAGCTTTGCTGGAGGCCTGGGTCAGGAGGACAGACATGTCTTCCCCACACAGGCCAGAACCCAGCAGCTTTGGGAGCTCAATGCGGCTGCTACTAATGGGCGGGACACATCAGACATACCCAGCATCAACCTCCTCTCTCCCTCATTCATTTGGGAGTATGATTTATACTTTTTGAAGTAAAGGGGATCTGCAATTCTTCTATAAAGGAATTAAGAGGCGTCCCATGTGTACAGCATTCAAATGAGAGCATGGCAAAGATACCAGGGGCTTTTAATAGACAGAAATTAGTATTCAACATGCTTCAAACTCCAATCTGAAGGAACCTTTCAGGTGGAGAAGAAAGGCGATGAGTATGAAAGACAGCGCTAAGAAGAGTGGCTGCTTTATTGCCGTTGTGTTTCTGCCCCTCATCAAGGATAGAAGGAGAGCTTTCTAGAGTGGCCCAAGAGAGAGAGAGGGACAGAGGAAGAGAGAGAGCGCGAGGGAGAGAATTAAGGATGCGCCGTAAATAGGCACCAAAGGCATAATGCAGTGAAGTCGAATGCTCTTCAGGCAATTAAACTCTAAATAAATACGCAGATCCCTCAGAGCCCGTATTTACCTCTAAGCATGTCTCCCCTTTGACATACTATAAGAGCAAAAATAAATAAATATATTGGATTCTTGTTTATATTTAAGTTTACTGACTAGTTCCATATTCTTCATAGTTTTACTTGTGCCTGAACTGCACAACTGAACTGATTTTTACTACTTCATAAAATATTTCGCCCTGTTCGCACTTTATATTCATGTAAATGCACAAAACATTGTCAAATCAGACACACATCATGTACATCAAGCCGGGAGATCACAAAGGTCATGGTTTGAGCTGCAGTCCTGAGGGACTTGTCCACTGTAGTGATTTTATACACATCAAAAACACACTGACCCTGCCGCAAAACTTTCATGCAGGTCAAATCGGTTAACCCTTGTACTGCTTCGCTCTATGCACGGTTCATTCGGAGGAGTTAACTAAAAATGCTCCATCAATATATTGAGCTTTGACAGCAGATCTGTTCAATGCTGAGTCCCACGCACCCCGGAGACACACAAAAAAAATCTTTTTACACATTCTGTAAGCAACTCAATCCTGCGTACAGTGAGGGGAGGTTTTGCTGAACTGAGTGGCATAAATACAATAGCGTTTCACCTTGTCACTTGGCTCAATGATAATTTAGAAGAGTGTTTAGTGCGTATAAACAGAATGACAGAAAGCAAAGCGCAGTTATTTTACTCTGACAGGACAAAAGTGCTAATAAAAGTCAACCTGACGTTTTTCTGGTAATGACAAAAATCATTCTTAGAGAAGAGCATGGCTAAAAAAAAAAAAACCCGTCTGAATACAGAATTATTAGATAAATCTTATTTATTTTATTTTGAGATGTACTTTGGTAGGAAATAAAGTCTAGGAAAGCAGACAAACTCTCACCTGTTTTTACATTCAGATATGGAGCATCTTGGATGGGAGACGTCTGGACCCATGCCAATAGACAATGAACACAAAGGTTTCAGCTGAAAATAAATGTAAATAATAATAAATAAATAAATAAATAAATAAATAAGGGAGATTACAGTAAATGGACAACAAACTCAAAAACAAACCACAGAAGAAAGGAATGAGATTCAGTTATACCTGTCTTCTATCTCGCTTCCCATAGGGGGGCAGCCAAAACCTGAAAATATTCATTATTTTCAAAAGCCATAAAGTGATTCATTAAATAATTAACACAAACAAATGTTACAGTAAAATCTTACTCTCTCTGATAGGAATCATGTGAGTAGTTCCTCAGCTTGTCCACACAAGCAGCAATATTATTATCCTGCCAAAGACACAACCAAAAGACAATCTCAATGTATTGAGCGAAAAAGGATTGTAACATGGCAATACCTCAGACCCGCAGGACGCTGTCAGGATTTATTAACATGCTGTAAAAGTAATGTGTTCTGCAGGTCTTGTATAATGTTTATAATATGCCAGTTCACCTTGGCAGGCAATCTCCTTCTGCCTTTCTTAATGCAGCACGCAGTCACACCTGGCAAACGGTTTATACGAGCATGACAACCTGCAACACACACACAGTTATGATGCTCAGACAGAAGGGGGGCATGGGAGAGCAGAAACAGAGAGAGAGGAGAGAGTAATATTGTAGATAGCTATGCTGAGTTCTTAAAACTGATTCGTATTGTAAAATGTATCTAGCAATAAGAGATGGCATTGTCTACAGCGTAATTGGTGATGAATAAAAATAAGATGTTTGGAGGGAAAAAGTGAAATACCAGCTGAAACTGCTATTCGGAAACTTGTAGTTCAGTGGTCGAGTGCATGCTTTGCCTGAATGAGGTCCTGGGTTCAAACCCCAGTATCTCCAACAGAGATATCTATATGGGCAGTGGTAGCTCAGTGGTTAAGATTTTGGACTATTGATCGGAAGGTTGTGAGTTCAAATCTCAGCACAACCAAACTGCCACTACTGGGTCCTTGAGCAAGGCCCTTAACCGTCAACTGCTCAATTGTATAAATGAGATAACTGTAAGTCACTCTAAATCAGGGCATCTGCCAAATGCCATAAATGTAAATTGTTTCTCAAGCTCCCACTTGTAATTTGATCTGAAGTGACATTCATGGGGGAAAAGCACACTGTGTCACTCTAATATAAGTAAAAAAAAATGTTCACATTGGCAAGTTGTGGGGGTAGAAGAATAAAACGCGACAGGGCTTGCTGTTATAGGAAAATAATCAACTATGGGGTTGGAACAGTAATTCGTGTCATTATTTTCCTATGACAGCATCTCCCCCTCATATTTTACACCATACGTATACAATGTACTAGAATACTTTTATGCAGTAGGAGCACTCACTATTTCACTTACATTATTTCCAACAGCACATGAACACACGCACAAAATCTTCTTCTATATTACATCGCTCTTTTGCAAGCTGTTTCTTAACCTTTGGAAGCCTTAGGGGACATCGTACTTGATTCCCTGATCCCCTCACCCTGGTCACCTCTCAAACTGCAGACCCAGTTAGGGGCCCCATGCAAAAGTCTGAATCATGGTAATAACTACAGTATCACTGTCCCCTATTGCCAAAAATTATTAATTTTTAGATGAAACTACTGTTACATCATTATTATCTTGCATTCTTACAATACCCCTGGTGGTTTGGACGGCCTTGAGCAAGCTATTATACATCTTAAAGCTAAAAACAGCTCATAGGTATTACATGTATTGTAATGTCAGATTTCAGTTTGTTGCTGATATATAAATATGGTTATTTGTCACATTATCTGAACTGCTCCTAATGATGTTTACAAACTAGCACTGTCAATGGGTCACTTTGTTAGGAGCGTTTCAGCACAGTCTAAGCAGACACTGGCTCTACCTCTCTGACTGGGTTGGCTCGGGTGGAGGAAAGTAGCCGAGCGATGGTTGTCTCTCATAGCGTCGAGTGCAGCAGCTCTAGGGGCTGTTTCTGACTCTCTGCTGGAGATCAGGCCCTGAACACCAATGCCTGATGCACATTCACCTTCGAAGAACCAGTCGCTCTGTTCATCATCACCTGCAGAAGAACACATTCAACTGTAGCAAACAAGTGAAATTCTTAAGTTGTGGTACCTAAATGATCAATATAACAAAATGTATGTGATGAATAAGACTTAACAGGGTGTGCTGTTATAGGAAAACAATCAATGACATGATTTTATTTATTTATTTATTGAATGACACTTTGTACTTTTATATTATATAATAGTTACAGTGTACGTAATGTTGTGGAACAGCCACAAAACAAATTGCCTCCTGTTATCACTTATGTTATCACAGCTATAAACAGTCACCCCCTCACGTTCTCTTATAGTTAATATAACAAACAAAAACATACAGCTTGTTAGAGAGAAAATGTCAAATGCAACAACTTCCATCCTTAGATATTCGTGTGGTAGAAACCTTACAGCTTTACAGCTGACAGTTACAAAGCTCTGACAATGGAGACTCCTTCCATAAAGGCTCCTTAACCATGTCAATGATTATACACGTTTCTTTGTTATATAACAGCATGTTTTTAAGCCATTTATTATAAGACTTAGATTTGTAGACTTCTATAACTGTTACTATAGACATTATAACATTAAAACAGGAGCATTACATAAAAACCATTACTGTAAGGGCTGTTGTTATAGATTACTAATCAACACCTTCTGATGAATCAGAAAAAATATCATTAAACATGGTTGCTAGGAAGAGAATGTGATGTTTACTTCATACAAACATCAATCTTAATGTAAATTTACCATGATGTTTCTCGATTCCCCACCTGCCTGCAATTATATAGATTAAGTGACTCAATGATTCTCCGCAGCACATACTAATTTCAGGAGAATCATAAATTTTCAATTATAGCTACATGTGCCCTCTGTGTCAAATGATGTTAAGTGAAGTGCAACCTCAGTGCTGCTTCTGAGTCAACCAGGGGCTTAGTTGAAACCCTGTTCATAACTGAGTTGCAAAGGGGATGCCACCTCACACACACACACACACACATTTCCAGACATAGTGGTCTCAACGGACCTGTCAGTCAGCTACACAGCAAGGCCATGCCTCTCACAGTCAAGGTGTAGTGACAACTGTTAAATCAGAGGATGCCTAGCACCTCCACACCTAATGAGATTAGCAAAGCCTTCAGCGCTCATTAGCACTACATGACAACCTCTCATTAGAACCGCATGGGCACGCGGTGAGTGCCACCCACAGCAATCAGGCTACACAGCGACATTATCCTATTTGTTTTTCCTTGTTATGGTAAAGAACATTTTCTGGTAGGATCGGTTTGGTACTGATACAGTTCCTTGTGTATGGCTGGTTTGGTTAAAGTAGAGGTATTTCCTGGTTTAAAACACTACACATTCAGACATGTTACTATCACCATAGTGTTTTTATTTTGTTTGTTGTATTTTGCTTCACAAGTCAATGATTGTTATTCCCATTTATCAATAATGCAACCCACCCAATTACAACTACAGCACTACAGATTACAATTACAAACAAAATAGACAAATACAGACCAAAAAACAGAGGTGTACCCTTTTCTAACCCTTGAGTATATCTAAGCATGTGTTTCCTGGAACAGTGTTGGATGCTTTCAAAACAGCTTAATTTATCTAATTATTCTAAATAATAATAATAATAATAATAATAATAATAATAATAATAATAATAATAAATTATCTGTTTCATTAATGCTGATATTCATGCCACAATATACGAAAACTAATATTCCTACCTTGCCTTCCCTCATCATTGGTGAAAAGACCAGGATCACTGCTGCACACACTGCTCGTCTCACTACAGGAAAACAGAGAACAGGGTTTATCACCTAAGCTTTAGTTTAGATTAATTAACAGATCCATTACACTGTACACATCCAGTGACAAAACAGCTTTCAGGATTTGACATCAGTTTATACGTTTAAAAGTGTCTTTAAAAATTACTATAATAAATACTGTATGTAAGTGGAATCAGATCAGATGTAGCAGACAAGGTCCTTGCTTTGGAGAAAGACGCCAGGGAGGGGCAGGTACAGATGCGGATCGAAGCTCTTGAGTGACATGCCCAATCTAATTGAATATCCCTCCCTGTCAACTCCAATCTAATCTGCCCAGCCTTTTCTGAGGATGACAGCAATGCACCAGATTTTTTTTTCCCCCTCCCGCTTTCTCCGTCTGCTGAGAAGTGCTCATGCACAGAATGGACCTCAGCCCTCAGGACTTTGACTCATGCAACAACTGGACAACATCTGCTCTTAGCAACACTGAGGCCTGGAGCAACGGCTCACGGCAGAAATCTGAAACAGATTCACTCCAACCTCAGACTACTGACACTGAACGGTTCCAAGCAGTGACAATTCATATGCATTAATCAGACGATTCCTTCAATCATTCACTCAATATCAAAGCTTTGTTTTGGTCAGGGTCACAGTGGATCTGGGAGCCTATCCTGGGAACACTCGGAGTACAGCCTAGAGATTTAGGACTAAACACGTTGGATGGAATGCAGAGCTATCAGAGAGATTTGTGTGTGAAAATGACCCAGTCTAACGCAAAATACTTTGTAATGTTGTTGGACTTTTTCATCTTTCGTACTATTTTGCTCATGTAACTTTTTTACACACTTGCAATATGAAATTATGGAAAGACATTATAGGTGAATAGGCTTACTTAAAAATAAAAGAATAAAATAGATATCACTACAATAAATAAGAATACATCTTAACAGGTGGTTAGTGATATTCTTACAATTATTTCCTGCATTAAAGGTTTTTGAGATAAATTACATTTGTTTATGCTAATTATATCTCCACACATTTGAATACTTTATAAAACCAACGACCTTGTGATTTGATTGAATAATTGTTTAATCAAGAAAATACAACTCACTGTTATTAATGGTAAATGTGCACTTATATAGCGCTTTTATCCAAAGTGTTTTTATCCAACACTGTGTCTCATTCACCCATTCACACACACACTCACACACCAATGGTAGCAGAGCTGCCATGCAAGGCGCTTGCCATCGGGAGCAACTTGGGGTTCAGTGTCTTGCCCAAGGACACTTCGGCATGTGGAGTCACCCGGGCCGGGAATCGAACCACCAACCCTACGATTAGTGGACAGCCCGCTCTACCACCTGCGCCACAGCCACCCCATTATTAAATATTATTAAATATTTTTGATATCATTTTGTAGTACAAACAAGTCCAATAATTATCAATGTTTTGAGTAAATAGAGATGCAAATTTCATGAATGTAAGCATTCTAGAAACTATTATTTTGGTTCTTAAATTAATGAATGTGCGATTAAAAGGTTTAAAAAGGAAAAAATTGTCATAATAAAAAAAAGTGACATATATAGCAGGAAATGTATTTTTCAAGGATATATGACATGATGTGAATGCGGCAATTGCTCAAAGTTGATCAAAGTTTTTAAATAATGCAATTAGAGTGAAAAAATGCTGAAATAAATATACTTCTGTTGTACATTACATTTTTAGCACTATAGTGTGAAACCTACTACTGATGCAATTTATCCAGAAATCTCAAAGAATGAAAGATCACCCTGTATTTTTGTTGTTGTTGTTTTGTGTTGTTTTTTTTACCAGTGAATGGTGTCTATATCAAAGACGATAGGATCAAGATAAATTAGTATTAATTCTGACAGCCCAAAACTTATATACAAGAACTTTGGTCAATTACTGCATCGCACTCCGTATCATCTAAGACATAGCGGGTGAGCCGTAAGTCTTGGGTGGAGCTGACAGACGCATCTGCTCCGCAGTTTGCCACGTGCTTATCAGAATTGACCTTGACCATGA